GTTGTATGCTTCATGTGCACAAGGGATGCGTTGTGACGAGTGCAAAGGAACTGAAACACCTTTTTAGACTACTAGAGATGTGTTGTAATACAGAGATATCATTCATGTTTAACGATGGTTAACAGTTGCTCTACTATCATGAAATATATCAGGGGGTGCTTAATTAAGTTCCAGGTGTATATATATCCATACATGACACACTTATAGTCTATATTTGTCCAGATCTGATTCTCTCATCACAGTTAGAATGCGGCCTTCTGGTTGTTCACAGAGGTGTACTTTCCCATCGTGTGTCCATGTTGAGTAGATCTTGTGTTGTTTTCTCAGTTCTCGTGTCATCTTGAACAAACAGTTCCTGTGTTTTGTGAGGTCCTCGTTGAGTTTGGGTTTGAGGCTGAGGCCTGAGTGAAAAGCACAAAAGTTTGATGTCCTTGTTGCAGATAGATTCTTGAACCACATGCTGCTTGCACCAGTGTTTGTTTACATAAACTCACACACCTCCTCTAACACGTTTTCCGGTCCTTGCCACATCTCTATCCAGCCAAATCAGCGATCTGAATCTACTGAGTTCCAAACTTGTGCTGTCCACAGTCTCGTTCAACCATGTCTCCGTAAAGCACATGAGACACCTTTCTCGAAACTCATACATATGCTTTACACAAGCCTCAATTTCATTTATTTGGTGCCGTACACTTCTGACATTTGTTGGGAGAGGGGGTCTCTACTTGTGGGTTCTCACCTTTTGTCAAATCCCCGCTCTCTTTCCTAGTTTGGACTTGGAAGCGTTATTACCTTTATCACTATTACTATTGTTGCATGAACATTCCGGTTGCAGGTCAATTTTCAAATGAATCCAAATTGAATCCTTGGAATTGAAGAAGCTGGTCCTTCCCAAAGCAAAGCTAGTTGTAATGGCCCTAACGGCCATGATGGTTGTCCCAGACGCCACTAGTCGCTAGAAGTAATCTGTTGCAAAAACCAGGTTACTGCCAGTGCTGGGGCAAATCCATTTTTGCTTATTTATCTTCTCCATGGTTTGAACTTCAAAACTGTATACGTTTATGATGTTAACTCATCTGAGATAATAATAACACAATCTTTCTTCTGGAGAGCTGTAATGATGAGTGCCACTACGGTGCGGAGAACTATGGAGAACTTTTAAAATAAAATCTTTAGAGACTGTGTCAAAAGCTTTTTCAAAGTCAATAAAAATCAGAAGGCCTGGTTTCTTTTTCTTTTTCAATTCATATATGATGTCATACATTAATCTAACATTATCACTTATACATCTACCTGGTATAAATCCTACCTGATCTGGATGTATCTGTGTCTAATGTCTTTTTAAGTTGATTTGCAATGCATGTGCTTATAATTTTGTAAAAGGTATTTAGGAGAGAGGTTGGCTGCCAATATTTCAAGTATCTTCTATCTTTGATTTGTTTTGAAATACAAGTTGTTACATTGCATGATAATTGACCTTTATCAAAGACTTCATGGACATATCTGTATACACAAAACTTTATGTCATTCTGAAACCATTTAAAAAATTCAACTGGAAAGCCATCTAAACCTGGATTCTTATTATTTTCATAGCTTTAACTGTTTCAGAGAGCTCCTTCATTTCTATTGGTTCATTCAGATTATTTGCAAAAGAACTAGTGAGAAAGGGTTATTAGTGTCTAAAATGTTTTGTGATTCACAGTCTATATTATAAGCAGTGTTGAGTTTATGATAAAATTCCTCTCGTTCATTTAGAATAGCCTTTCCATCAGTCAGAAGTTCTTACTTTTCATATATTAGAGAATTGATAAGCTTATTAGTATAATTTGTTTTCTAAATGACATTGTTTTTTCCCCCTCTTCATACCATTGAATCCTGCTTCTTATTTGTCTACCTTTTTCTTCCTCTTCTTTTATTTTCTTAAGTTCTGACATATTTTTAGATATTTTTGAGAACATTTCTTCATTAAAGCTCTGAAAGTTTTCCATAATTTCATCTTCTAAAATTTTTATATCTTTTTTCTAGCGAGATTGATTTACCTCTTACTTTCATAAGAAAAGTTTCCATAAAAAGTTCCAATTGTTTGAGTTTATATTTTCTAAAACAATCTGTCTGGCTTTTGAATTGTTTATATTTTTGTAATTCTCAAGATCAACATCAGAATTTAGGACAAGGTTTTAATCTCCACATACAATACATTATCAAACTCATTGATGATATTAAATAATGAATAATGAGGGTCATCTTGGTTAGGTCAAAACACAGTAGCAAGGGTGAGCCTTATACCTTCAATAGTAATATCAGCTATTACCTTATTTTCCATCTGGATCTGTTTTACATTTATGAATATCTAATTCAATGTTGTTATTGAATAAAATGCAAACATCTCTTGAGTTTGAAATGTAGGGAGCAAAGATACTTTTTAACCCCCATTTGTTTCTCATAATATTCTGATCCTCTTTTTTGATAAGTATGTCTTGAAGGCACATAATAAAATATTTTTTCTTGTGCCATAAATTCATTACTTCTTTTCGTTTTGTTTTATGGGCTAGCCCTTGACAGTTAGCAGAGATTACTTTGATATAATTAGAAATTATGGGAGATGAATAAGATAAAGCTTCTGTTAACTTAGATGAAGTACATAATCATGGTTACGTCTACTGAAGAGAAACATTTTTCAAAATATAAAGAATTAAAGCATTTGTTTAAAAACATGAACAGAAATACTTGTGGCATTCTTTTTAACACCCTCCATCCTTACAAAAACTATTTCAGAATAATATATTCTGCCATTCAAATATAAAGTAATAAACATTTAAACATACACTTAGTCCTAACTGAAATTTCATCAGCGGTATCAAAGGGAAGTAGCTCATGATACAGAGCTCTCTCCGAACACCATGTCATTTTACGAATTTTTAAGTTTATATTGACCGAGTTCAGAATCTGAACATAGTAGTCCATCTCCAACACAATAACGCTGAATAGTCAGGGATACCTGGTACAACAGTCCAGTGAATAGTGACTATCCCCAGCATCTTCAGTAACTCACGACAAGTGGGTTCCGCTTCCAGGGAGTCAGGAATACCATAAACCAATAAGCTGTTCCTACGGTGGTAAAATAATCGTGTCCAAATTTTATTTTCACTTCCTTCTCAAAAGTTGCTTTAGTTCGAGTTTTAGCTGGTCAATATCCAACTTGTTTTTTTTAATTTTTGTGCATTGAATTCAACAGTTAAAATTTCATCAGTTTTCTGTAGAAGTTTATGAAGTTCAATGTTCATATTGTCAATTTTGTCGGATAGTTTGCAGGTTTTTTTACATAGAGATTGTTGAGTGAACAATTTCATCTAGTCATTACTGCTTTCCGACATGGCTGCGGTTAATGTAGCTCTTGTATGAATATAATTCTCCAAATTTTGTACCTGTTGTTTAGAATTACTTGTATTTTCCCTTTTATTGTTCCTTGACTTTGGTTTTGTGGCCATTTACACAGGATTTAGTTGGATTGGGCTCAGAGACCATTTACACACATTCTGCTGTCATGAGCACCACGGGAAGTTTTTACATGACGCTAGACTTAAAAATAATTCTAGGTGATAGGGATAGAGTTAAAATGAACGTAATCGTCAGAATGGTAGGGTTTCCTGTAGACTGTGTTTTGGATCTTTTTGATGGGGTCCCTGGTTACAAGGACATCTAGAAAGGGAAGTTTGTTATCAGTCTCTGTCTTCATGATGAACATGATAATGGGATGCTTGGTGTTGAGGTCACAAAAGTGACATCCACCTTCCTTTGCCTCAGGTCGAGGAAAGTTATAGTGGTTGTGTCAGTGAGGGCTGCCTGGGCATGAGTGAAATTCTTTAATGGTGCCTTCTCTGCCATATTCATCAGATTTAGTACCAATGAGAGTCTTGCTAGCAGCCAAATACAAGTCATTTGGTCAAAGTCCATCCAAAACATGATACTAGTTCTGAAGAAGATCTTCAAAGTTGTCTGCTCCACAACACAGGTCATATGCTAGTTTGGCAACAATTCTTTTCTCAAACAGATTGCCCAGCACATTCATAGGCAGGCATTCCAAATTTACACCTACCATAAACCCTAACATAAATGTTGTTTTTGATGAATGAGATGAAACATTTCAGTGATTTTCATGACAAAATGGGGTTGTACATACTGATGAACTTGGAGTATGGCATTACCATCTCCGATAGGGCCTGCAAGCGTAAGACCATGACGTTCCCATGGGTGATCAGGAAGGCTGGTGAGGTCATGTGCCACATACACAATGACAGCACCTTTGTCAAGAAATTTATCACATCATAAGCCAAATGTCCCTGCTTCATGGAACTATGCCAGGTAACATGAAATTGCCTGCTACATGTCATCAAACTCTTCTGGAAAGAATGGAATCAACTTGGCTGACTGGGGGCATTTAATTCTAATTTCTTTCCAGGATGACACTGCCCATGCATCATTGCAATTTGGTTGCGTCTGTGTGATACAGGAGCAAGTCACAGCAACGGCTGCAACAGTAGCATTATTCAAAGGTTAGACACAGGAACTGAATCTAACGGCATACCAGTCCCCCAGTTGATGTATCAGTCTAACATAACGGCGGAATCTGTGTCAGAGGTTAGTGTCTCAGAGGGCATAAGACATCAGATTAAAATCTTGCTCTCCTGTTAAATTACCTTCACCAAAGACAACAATGATTTTTGCACTCTAGCCGATGTTCATGGGAAAGAAATTAGAATTAAATGCCCCCAGTCAGCCAAGTTACTTTGATCCCTGTGGCACTTGTAAAAGTAATAGACATAGGGAGACTACCGACCAGGATCAATGATGATGGTGATATATCACAGAGTGAATATCTTATATTCCTTCCTGTTGAGAATGAATGTTAAACATACTCATTAAGATATCCCATGAACTTTGACATTTGTTCTATAGTGTTTATTAAGAATGAATTTGACATAGATGGCATGTCTACTTACAATTTTAAAACTCTTCCAAACTGAAGTCTGTCTATTCGTCCGTACTGTTTCTGTGTCATGTACTTGAAATGCTGAAAATACATTATACAATAAAAGAAAATTTAAGCATCAGGAAACTTTACATGAAACTTTATTTTTCTATGATTTACTGGTGTTGATTGATGTACTTCAATAATCCAGGGTGCATAGATAGTGAAACTGAACATATAAGATATGTCATCTTTTGTCTATTAGACTGTAGCTGTTTAATTCTACACACCAGTTATCAAATCTACATTACTGCACCAATCAATGATAAAATAAGTACCCCAGATGTGAAGGAAATGCCAAATGAGAACAACTGATTGCGATATCTTGTGTATTTTCACCAGACCTTTGAAGGTACAGATGTTTTTGCTGAAGTTGCATGCCTCTGAAGATGAGATGATTATCACAAGTGATCAATCAACGTCTATGTGACAGTTTGTACAACCTTTATTCTTCTAAGTGACAGTGAAATGGTCTCTTTCATTACAGTAATCATAGCAGTTGTTAAAATCACAAACACTAATGAGATTGTACATGCTCATGTCATGTATTTATAACAGTTCCACTAATGAAAACCATTGAAAATATACATACGTAACCAATGTATACGTTACTAGAAAGTACAAAACTAAGAATTCAAAACTAGATGATAAGCTTTTGGCTATACCTACTTCTTGTGGCAGCAGCAGTAATCGAACAGGTATCGAATATGGAGTCAAAAGTGGAAGATTTTCGGTCAACATTCAAGGAGGAATTCTCTGAACGTGTGTCTAGAGTCAAAGAACAGTACAAGCAACTGTATACACTCAAAGAGAATCTTCCAGAACACGAATTTATACTGCAGATGGACTTTGCAGAAATTTTTTCTTGTAGATCTCTTGACGAAATTCAAACAGCCTACTGGAACCAAACCTAAGTCACATTACGTCCAGTGGTTGCCTACTGGAGGACTTCAGAAAAGTTTTGTCATAAGAGGTTTGTCATTATTTCCGTTGAGGTATGACACTCAGCCAGTACAGTCTGTGCCTTTATTGAGAAGTTGCTGCCTGCACTTTATGAGATAGACAGGGATGCAAAAACAATTCACTACTGGACTCACTCCCCCTCAAGCCAGTACCGGAATCGCTTTCTTTTTGAACTTGTGGCCAATCATCAGGAAACTTTTGGGATGAACGCCCATTGGAACTACTTTGAGGCAGGCCATGGCAAGAGGCCGTGCGACGGCTTAGGGGGTACCACCAAAAGGATGGCCGATGAGGCCATTCGACAGGGTAAAGTTTCTATACAAGAGGCGAGTGAATTTTACCAATGGGCTCAGAATGGGCCAATGAAGGAGGTCTCATTTCACTATGTTTCAAAGTTAACTTCTCAAGAGAAGCATAGTCAACTCAACTCCAAGGTAATAAAACCAATAAAACAGACAATAAAACTCCACGCCGTAGCTGAAGGGTCCAACATGCTTCTGAAAACAAGAGAGACATCATGTTACTGTCCCACACTGCAGCTGAAGGGTCCAACATGCTTCTGAAAACAAGAGAGACATCATGTTACTGTCCCACATGCCTTTCTGGTGATTTCTGTAACACCTGGGGTAACAATTAGTAAACGGCCTGCAAAGGAGAACATGTCAAAAAAAGAAGCTAAATCTGCTTATGTAACTACCTCTACACAAAGCCCTCCTGAGTCTCCAGATCATCCATCAGATGTTCTATACTATGCTGCATCTGTCTCACAGGATGATACAGACCTGCCTCCTCATGATCAGACATCTTCAGATAGTCCATCAGATGTTCTATCCAACGCTGCATCTGTCTCACAGGATGATACAGACCTGCCTCCTCATGATCAGACATCTTCAGATCACCCATCAGGTGTTCCATCCAACGCTGCATCTGTCTCACAGGATGATACAGAAATGCCTCCTCATGATCAGACATCTTCAGATCGCCAATCAGGTGTTCCATCCAACGCTGCATTTGTCTCACAGGATGATACAAACCTGCCTCCTCATGATCAGATATCTTCAGATCGTCCATCAGATGTTCTATCCAACGCTGCATCTGTCTCACAGGATGATACAGACCTGCCTCCTCATGATCAGACATCTTCAGATCGCCCATCAGGTGTTCCATCCAACGCTGCATCTGTCTCACAGGATGATACAGAAATGCCTCCTCATGATCAGACATCTTCAGATCGCCAATCAGGTGTTCCATCCAACGCTGCATCTGTCTCACAGGATGATACAAACCTGCCTCCTCATGATCAGACATCTTCAGATCGTCCATCAGATGTTCTATCCAACGCTGCATCTGTCTCACAGGATGATACAGACCTGCCTCCTCATGATCAGACATCTTCAGATCGCCCATCAAGTGTTCCATCCAACGCTGCATCTGTCTCACAGGATGATACAGAAATGCCTCCTCATGATCAGACATCTCCAGATCATCCATCAGATGTTCTATACTATGCTGCATCTGTCTCACAGGATGATACAGACCTGCCTCCTCATGATCAGACATCTTCAGATCGCCCATCAAATGTTCTATCCAATGCTGCATCTGTCTCACTGGATGATACAAACCTGCCTCCTCATGATCAGACATCTTCAGATTGTCCATCAGATGATCCATCCAACTCTGCATCTGTCTCACAGGATGATACAGAAATGCCTCCTCATGATCAGACATCTTCAGATCGTCCATCAGATGTTCCATCCAACTTCGCAGCTGTCTCACAGGATGATACAGACCTGCCTCCTCATGATCAGACATCTTCAGATCGCCCATCAGGTGTTCCATCCAACGTTGCATCTGTCTCACAGGATGATACAGACCTGCCTCCTCATGATCAGACATCTTCAGATCGTCCATCAGATGTTCTATCTAACTCTGCAGCTGTCTCACAGGATGATACAGACCTGCCTCCTCATGATCAGACATCTTCAGCATCAAATTCTGCGAAAGCATCCAGCCTCTGTCATCTCCAAGTTGGTGACTATGTAGCTGCTATCTACGAGGGTGAATGGTATGTCAGGAAGATTGAGGATATTGATCATGAAGATGGTGACTACGAGATAACTTTCATGCAGAAAAGTAAGGGGCTGTTCAAATGGCCTGCCAAAGAAGATAGGCTATGGGAAGATGGTGCCAACATTATTTGTAAAATCACGCCATTGGTGCCCACTGGTAAATCAAACAGACTGTTCAAACTGAAGCAGTGTGATTTGGACAAAATACAGAAGATAATGTAACCTTTTGAGAGTCCGGTGTACATACGTTACATTTTCCCGTTACATACGGTACTAGTCGAATGTTGACTGGTCATGTTACTAAAGATTAGTTATTCATTTATGAGTTCAGTTTTGTGTTTTACATTGCTTTTGGATTAAAAAAACGTTTTTACTTCTGTGTTTTTCTCAACTTTTGCCACATTTATGAAGATAAGTATTGATTACCTTGATATTTTTTACTATAAACAGCTAAATAAGAAAAGATAGAATCCCGTAATCCTGAGAAAAGGTTGTTCAGGTGTTTTAATTGATGTTTTAGGTCAGAAAAAGTAAGACGCTTCATGATGAAAATCTTAATTAGTGACCAGTACATGGTATTGAAACAATTGAAAGTTGGGCTACATACGTTACTGTTACGTGTAACGTGTTTGTACTGCAAAAAATGACTGGTAATTTTCATGAGTTTTATGTTGTTGCAACTGGCTATCGATCAAGTATTTTGCTACTATTTTTTTTGTCTACTATGCCCAAAGATTGTTGGCAAATCTAGTTATCAGGTTTGATTTGAGATCTGTTTTTGCAATTTGTTGGTATTTAAAAAAAAAAAATCTGATTAATAATGATTAACAATGTGTATGTCAACAGACTTCTAAAGGTTTGAGCAGACGTGTATGTTACTAAATAGCCAAAACCATGCGGATTATTTGAAAGGTTACTCAAATAATTCATTACATTGTAACTTAATTCTCTTGTCAGAAAAAAACTGGTCACGTAGGTATCAGATGATAATATTTTATCATGCAAGGTGCCACATTTGCATACCAGCTGTATGGTTATTTGTAAAATGGTATGGCTGAAAAAGTGATATGTAATAGACCATATGCCAAACTTTCTAAATAAACTGTTTTCGCTCAGATTTTGTGTATTTGATTTTTGACTTATGACGCTTACCCATTTGCACCTCATTAATGAGAACGGGCGTATAGCCAGCTGCCATCAGTTAAATGGCAGGCCAGGGTATTTCATTACGGAAAGCGATTGATGATCTTGATGAAACAGATATTTTTGAAGGCTGCTGATATTGTGGGAGGTTGCCTTTCCAGCAAGGACATAGAAAGTAAGTACATGCCTCATATTGTTTTTTAAGGAATTAATTTTAATATTACCCGTAACTTAGACTGTATGACTAAAATGCTATGTGATATATCAGGTATGTTATCAGCAATGGCCAATCTTATTTTCTGAATGGGCCAACCTTTTGAAAGTACCAGTAAGTGTATGCCATAGGGCCCAATTTCAATTCCTGAATAGATGTAACTTCAGAGGAAGAGATATATTAACACATCCCAGACAGCATAATCATAGAGTCCAAGGGTGCATGGTCAAGCCATTGATCACACTCTTGGCAATGAATATGTTTTCCTACATAGCTGTCATGGTATCCTCCCAAAACTTCCACAACTTATAACAACATTTCTGGTTGACTGCACACACTTTAGCATACTGATTACCTCAGTCTGTAATGGTTTAACCCATTAATCAGTAATGAATACATGCAGTCTTTACCCATTTTCTACATGACAGGGACATCAATAAGTAAATCTTTTGCCTATTACATATTCTTTAAACATTCTGAAATATCTGACTGACAAATTTCATTAAATTATCTTTTAAAGGAAACATATAAAACTGGCTATTATTAAAACTGTCACTAATACTTCTTCTTCTTCTTCTTCTACCATTATTGTGTCACTACCATAACAATTAATGCCAATATCCATAACATAACATTATTAATTTCCTCATTTAATTAAAATTGATTGATCTGTTTATGTCTGGATTTGGTGATGCCAGTGTATGACATAAGGCCCGTCTGACCGAGACGGGTTCGATTTCAGATGGACGGTCAAGATTTACAGCTAGCCAGCCCGATGGTGTGGTAAAAAATTGAGATGTTATATACACCTGAGTCATATCTTGGTGTCTGGTCTGGTTAAATCCATTTTGGACTGGTAACATTTTGAAGTTACCAGCCCTGATGTCTGGCTGGAGGTTTGACTTATTTCATACACTGGTAGTGCAAGTATGTTTGGTAGTAGAGCTTCAAGTAAGCATAATACAATTCATATTCTCATTTTGATTTTTTTGCTACATATTACTTTTTACTATCCATATGGTGAAACATAACCAGTGTCATATATATATCATATGTGCACATAACAGTTTTGCCTAGCAACCATTGTTTCTGTATTTCGTCGTTTGTGATGTCATTAAACAATTGAATGTGGCGTCAGTGAACAGAACAGTCACACTTGCTTATCATGTTTTACAGCAATCATGCAAAATTATAAATATAAAATTTAAAAACCCATTAGCATTAAAGGGACACTGATCCAGAGCGATTAATGTTTCTCGCCAACAGTCTATTTCCGAAACCAAGCTGCAGGTTGGTCGGTACCTGCTCACTCGACCGTGACGGGCCAGAGGGACTGGGCTACTGTCCACCTTGGCAGAATTTCTTCAACCTAAACAGTAGGACATTAGGAAGGGTGGATGCCCATTATTTGAAAATATCCCTGGTAGGTCTTGTGTGACTGTAATAAAGAATCCCAGCAGTGTAAACATTTTCAGATTTTCTAATGCCTGGATGGTATAATAACTGATCAATTTTTTTTTACCTCGATATTCAATCATGTCATGTAAATATATGATGTTTATTACCTATGCTATATATAAACACACATTTGATGTATTTGAATCCGTAAACTAAACAAAACAACCCCACCTTGTCATTGCTAGAAGAATCTAAACATTTACTTAGGTAAATAGGTATATACAGCAAATGAGTATGTGTATTTCTTACACAACAATGCAGTTCCGTTCGTATCCTCAAAACTGTGTCGGCCTATAAGTTTTTGTCAGGCAATCAAAATTGCATGCAATACAGCAATTACTACTCCCTTTCTGTAACCCGTGTTTTGTGGTAAACCTACACGTTATTTGTCATCATTCACTTGATGGTCAGTTAAAGAATTTATAACAGGTATAATTAGTGATAACACCACTCAGATTACCCGACAAAGATTCCCATTTGGCATTTCCCGTGTCTGGAGTTATTACTCAACATTATAAATTAAGGTCTGATGTGGTAAATGTATTACATCTTATGTAATATGCACATGGAAGTGCAGCAAGAGGCGTTGTCAGCTGAGTTACAAAAACAAACATCGATCAAAGGATTAACCGATAACACGCTGATAGATTAATTGCTTTTATCTTGCACAATGGATTTGTCAAAAGGTGGGCGTTGATGCAGATGTATGTAGATTTAACTGATCTATACTGAATACACCCTGTCGCAAAGTGCCTGTGTAAAAACAACGTCCTTCCTCCCTTCCAAGGATTAACCGCCAATACATTGATTGATTGCTCATTATTGGCTAACTAAATTACTTTGTTAAAGAATGGAGGATATCATGCAATTAGTTGCTAGGTGTGCTATCTTGGGTGACCAATCAGAAGCTACACCAATGTGAAAAACCTGAAATGATACATCACTTTTTCACATATTAGACTGTTACAAGACACATGACATGGTGCAGGATTCTTTGTCAGCTGAATGTGAATGGCATGTCGTTCCTTTATGTGGATATTGATGGATACATTCCTCGAACAAGGTAGGATAGCCTGACATTGTTGCTGTAACTTTAGTGTGTTTTAATTCTAATATTTGCATTTTGTTTTTATTCATTTATTGTAGCATTATACAGAATCATTGTTTTCACTGTAAAGTGTAATGATACAGACAACATACCGGGTACACTAGGTTCACTTTGGGCGTGTGTGTGAAATAATACATAATCGACGTTGGCAATCTATAAAATGTCTAGATATTACAGTCATGCTATAAATTCACAATAAGTATAAGCAGATCGTGTGCATTTTATTAGGTTTGAAAATGCATACAAATATGATAATAAACTAATGAGGATTATAAGACAAAATATAAAGACGAACATTGACTTCATTATATTTCAGTCCCAACATTTTTCACCACTGGCAGATGGTTAAACTTCATAGGTTTTCATTTGTTATCAAATTAATGAAGATGTAAAAGTTACCGAGTAAAAAAGATTTCCTCTTTGTTGATCAATCTATACTTATACTATCAATTGCGCATGCGGGTAGCACAGCAGAGGTCACGAACCAGTCAAGAATTATGGGATATCATCTGGGTACTCACGGGAGAAAAACAATAACAAAAGCAACAACCAGTCCATGGAAATTGCTCTGGATCAGTGGCCCTTTAAGCTTGCATAATTTATGCTTTGGTATATTCAGAATACTGTGAATGTATTCAACAACATTTCAAGGTTAAACAAGAAAACAAAATTTACAATTTTTGCTTTCATGAAATATGCAAGAATGTATATCATACTTATCTCAACTAATTGCTCTCTTCTCTACTAAAATCTCTACTTTGCTAAGTCAGGTGATATATCATAATCTGTTGTTTCAGTTAAATGGACATCCTGGGCCATTCTATTACCTAAAAAGGGGTGATGAGTTGTTGTTTTAACAATGTGTGGTAGTATTGGGATGGGGAAGTTTTGAGATATAACCGCTGTCATGGCTGCCAGAGAGCAGATATTTTCTTTTGGCATTGTTTCCTCCTTAGTTAATGGATAATACACATCACTGATTTACCTGAGTAAACATGTTGATTCTTTTCTTGAGTACATTACACAGAAGCGCTTCAATCTGAAAAATCAAGGATAATTAAAATGTCATTGCATCAAAATGGTATCAATTTGAAGAGAAAAATAGAACTGTATAAGCATTTCCCTACTGCTGATAAGAACTAGAGGTGTTTGTGAGTACTAGCAAAACTCAAATGCCACCATCCTCGATAATCTCCAGGGTATACGTTCCGATAAATCTCCACTAAACCCTGCATGCATCTACGGCTCGAGCCGATGATTTTCTTACCTCCCTTTGCTGGCTCTGCATTCTCACAGTAGCCAATCAGATAAGGCGCCGTTACAAGAGAGCTTGCCAGTGTCAACAAAGATAGCAATCACAGCCGCGAAAGATTGTTCACAGTGCGACTCAGATTTGGGGGGAAAACATACAGACAAATTGACAGGTCTGAAATCTTAAAAAAATATATGCAAGAACTCCTTCTACCGCTTTCAGAGTACCTCTGCAACAATATATTATTATCTTGCCAAGTTTAATCGGTTAGAGATTTAAAAAGCGAAAGTGAGTTGTGATTGGTACACTCAATTTCCCAGCGTAGACACCTGATTGGATAAAAAGCCAACCAAGGGAGGTAATAAAATCATCGGCTCAAGCCGTAGATGCATCCAGGGTATAGTGGAGAATTATTGGAAAGTTTACCCTGGAGATTATACGTCTGTATGTGGCATCTCATCCTCGATAGACGTATAACTCTGGATGGAGGATAATGGCTAAACATGAGATTGTTTCATGGTAATATTTTAGTAACACAAATATACCCATGCTGACTTTGGAAATGAATGCTGAAACTGTTGTGAATAATAGCACTTGTGCCAAATTGTTATTGTGTGATATTTTAATTAAAAACAATGTACACATCTGAGACAAATCAATATCCCAGTTGAAAAACTATAAATCAAATGTTTGAGGAATATTTCAGCTGATTAAACAAGGAAAATACCAAACAAGACTGTCACTGATCAGGCACTAATCCGCAAGGATTTTTTGGCCTCAAGATGACTGTATCTCCCATACCTCATAATAAACTTATAATAGCTGTAGCACTGAAATTCAAAATGAGCACACTCCAAGATATTTAAAGATTGACTCCAGTGGATCCCTGCGATCAGTGTGAGAGCTCTCGCCCAAAACATCCAAAAGTGATGGTTGAATAACACTTGATGAATTGAAAGACACCCCAAATGTGAGTTTGTGTATATTCAAACGATATTTCTCCAAAAAGTGTGAATAAAAGACGTTTTTTCACATTCACACCTGTAATCAAGATAGGTCTAAAGTGGGCCTGTGCAGTTCATGCACCTTCACCTGTGTTGTCACTCAGTGCTACCTGACGACATGCTCACCAGTGAGGTGTACACTTACCGGTAGATATTTACATTAAAAGCATGGCTCCTAAAAAATCTGAACTTGCAGAAATAACCCAAAAATCTTTCAGATATCCAAAAGGCGTTGTCAGAAATGCTGAGCAAGTCGGATTTAGAGGCATTAATTACTTCAGCGATGGACACAGCTGTACAGTCGATAAGAAACACCGTCAAGGCAGAACTAAATTTAAAAGGTGAGCTCATTGATGAACTCGGAATTGACCAACTTAAAAACTGAAAATTGCAAGCTGTCTGTACTGCTTAATAATCAACAGAAAGAAAATTCCGAATTAAAGGCCCTCTGTGAACAATCAATCCGTTGGTCAAATGCAGCATTCCGCTGGGCTAATAAAAACAAGCAACACTTGTGAAAAAATAACATTAAAGTGTTCAACTTTACAGAAACCAAAGATGAAGACTTGTTTGATACTTTCTCACATGTGCTCAAAGAGAAAGGTGGTGTTTCTGTTAAAAGAGAGGAAACTGTGGCAATTCATCGCACTGACCACGCAGACAAAAGTATCACCAAGCCTGTGCTAATAAAAACTCATATCCCCAGAAGTGAAAATGAGAATATTTAGGGCAAGGAAGCAACTGAAAGAAAATAAAGCTTTCAAGTTAGCCGAGAGTCAGCATCACAAGAGCGAACGTGATGCTGATTAACCGTCTGAAGTCACACCCACGCATTAACAATGCATGGTACTTCAATGGTAGAGTGTATGGTGAATCAGTGGACAGGAAGAAGTATAACAACCATTCAACGATGTGGACACTGTTCTTGGTAAACCTTGACCTCGGGTCTTTTTCACACTGACATTTTACAAACGTTTGACTTTATTATGACAAAGACTTGAAATCGTATGTGTCTACTGTTGTCCTCGCAACGTTTCTATTTCTTCATTGCTGTTCAATCTTAATATTGGGCAATATTGCGGACATCTCTCAATATCGTTAATTTATTTTTCTCGTTTATAAATTTTATTTCTCACTCAAAGCTTGAGTTGCATAACTGGCATATGTAGAGGAGACATTGCTCTACCCATCTACTAAACCAATTACCCCCACCCCACCCCACCCCCTTCAAAATTCCTGGATCCGCCCATGAATGATGTAATTGTAAAACAGTATGTGTTTTCAGCTTTGCCCGCATTTTTGTCTTTCTCTCATTTTTATGTCTTCATAATCATTGTAAACGCATATGGGACTATTTGTTTACTTTAAGAATACATGATACATTGATGTAAGTAGCTCTGTGCTACTTTTCTTTCTCTCCCTTTTATGTCTTCAGATAATCATTGTAAACTAACTAGATAAGCATAAGTATAATGCGTCAACTGGGTGTTTACTCCGATTGTGTATTATATTTTCTTCACCGAAAACTCTTTTGTCACAGTTGGTTATTTTATGAAGGCATGCTGGACTTATTTGTTTACCTTATGCATGAATGATACATTGATGTAAGTAGCTATGTGCTACTTTTCTTTCTCTCCCCTTTTATGTCTTCAGATAACCATTGTAAACTAACTAGATAAGCATAAGTATAATGCGTCAACTTGGTATTTTATTCTCCTCACCGAACACTCTTTTGTTACACTTGGTTATTTTATGAACGCATACGGGACTTTTGTTTTACTCTATAAATGAATGATACATGGATGTAAGTAGCTCTGTGCGCATTTGGGTTTAGGCTATCCGTAAGTTATTCTATACTGCTATATCGTGACATTATGGTTAGTTCATTACCCAAGACATACGTATTAAGTTGGTCTTACCAGTTTGTAGTTTACTATCTATTCTTAACCATATTGACATTTGTTCAGAAAATTCCAAAATGCATGTAGTTACTTTTAAAAAAAAATAAGTTTCACTATTTTATTTCTTGTCTGCGTAAGCAATATGACAGGATTCGTTTGTTTCTTCTGGTTGGTTGGTTACTTACTTTTGTTGTTTTTTTGTTTCACTTAACTTTTCACTTTTGTCTTTCATAAGTCTAGACACTCATTTTGCAAGCATGTTTCTGTGGTGAATATTTATGGCCCAAATAGCGACTCCCAAAATTTCTTTGAACAGTTACCCGGAATGGCTAGAACAATTACCAGGTGCCATTATTTGGGCTGGCGATTGGAATGTTGTAAGACTATTTGTAAGACACATTTAATTATAAGCATAGGAACAACCAAATGGCGAATAAAAAGATATGTGATAAAAAAGAAAAAAAGGGAACTTGTCGATCCATGGAGAATACTAAATCCGGAAAAGAAGACAAGAAGTAAATTGAAACAAGGTCGCTTAGAGTTTTTTCTTATCTCAGAAGACATTATGTCTCTCGTCAAAAGTTGTTCAATAGATTTAGTTATAAATCAGACCACTCATTTATTACCCTCAAGTTTAAATTACATCCAATTGAACGGGGCCCTGGATATTGGAAATTTAATTCTTCCTTTCTTCGCAATCTTGACTATGCACATTTGGTGAAATAGACTATAAAGGATACTATAGGGCGAATATAAGACAGTAGATGAAGCCACTTTGAGCACCCCGCATGTCTACTCAGTTAATGATCAGCTTTTATGTGAAATTATTAAGAATAGCATACGGTCTGAAACAGTAGCTTATTCAACGGCAAAAAAGAAAAACACTGATAAAGAAGAAAAAGTACTAGAAAGAAAAATTGATGAAATGGAAACAATTTATAACTCTTTAGGGAACGATGAACTTAAAATACTTTCAGATTATACAGAAAAAGTTGAAATAATGACACAAGAAAAAAAATGGTGATTTCCAAAAATTTCCAATTTGCAAACATCGTATTTCCAAAAATTTCCAAAATTGGAAAGATGATGTTTCCAAGGCTTGGAAATTTTTGGAAATTTAGGAAGGATTTTACCACTACTTCTTTCAATTTCTCCTTTTCCCCAAGGATCCCCGGCCCATGAGTGTATGGCATTGTGTAATCATAGCTTTCGGCCGTGGGAGCCGTGCCAATTAACACTTATCAGAGGGGTACACAAAGCCCGCAGTCTAGATTACCAGTTGTCCGACTTCCATTTTTTGTGGAAGTCGCGGTAGCTGAGTTGGTTAGGAGGCTGATTTTGTGTGCTGGCGATAGGGTGCCTGACTGAGGGTGTGAGTTCATATCCCGGATGGTGCTCAACTCAAAAAGTACTAGAATTTGTGCTTTACTAAGAAAGTGTAATCCCAAATATAACACATGTTCCATGAGTGTATAGACTGAACTATTTGTGAATCTTTTGATCTGTTAGAGTTCTTATTGTTGATAATGTATCTTGCATGTGACATATTTATTCATGAAAACTGCAGGAATACGACATTCATATTATCCCTTTGTCCTTGATATCAATGCAACTGTGTTTCACGCGTGAAGTGATAATTTTTTTAAAGTTGGGATATAGAGTAGGTGTTTACTATTAAGCGTCCTATCGACCAACTAGGAACCAATTCTATATATTAGTTTAACTTCACTCATCTGCATTCTTCTTGTTCTATGTGTCAAAAATTGATGATGACTGTTCTATTTACCGCTAGTATGGCGAGCATTTTCAAAAGTCAGTTTCAAGTGTATGTTTTAGTTGTTATCCACAAACGCGAAAATGTGTTTAATTTCAACTCTCCCAC